AATAAAAAATTTATATCTTTATGTTTGAAGCCTGAAATGTGGCAAAAGGTTGAAAAGTTCAAGGGGGCCGAATACTTTCGCAAGGCACTGTATCTGAGGATCTCGACCAGCCATTTCTTAAACGTTGCCAGGATATTAGCTTTGTTTAAAAATGCTTTAAAATCCCACAATCCTTTCTGCAAAACAGCACCTCCCATCCTCAGTTTTAAATCCCCTTTGTTTCCATTTATGTCATCAGAGTCTTGCTGTTGACTCTCAATAAATCCAGTGGGTTATTATCCATTAATTATTATATTCCTTTTCATGAGCTAAATGCTATTCTTTTTAATACATTTATAAAGTGTTCTATGTCTTTTTATATAAAAATAATTGTAATAATAATATTTACTATATTACATATTTTCTATAATACATAACGTCACCTTTATTTGTCCAAATCTAATTTCCCTTTAAATTTACTATATGTATCAACGCAACAATTTTATATGTTTTTGTCTCACTTTAATTGACTTTATTACATGTTAGAAATTAAACACAGCTGTCTCTCCAACTGAATAAACTGACATCATCCAGAGAAGTGAGTCTCTGTTGACCTTAGTGATTGTATTACATCATGTAATTTCTTGAACTTTACATATACGGTAAAGAATGCCAATTAAAAGCAAACAGTACTCAACACCTAATCATGGTTGTAGAGTTAAGCATTAACAGTGTAGTTGTGTGTTTAAACTATTTTCAGATTTAATTAGGAATTTTCAAATGTCCTATCTTTGTATTAAATTTTTAAGTTAACATTAAAGCTTTTGTTTTATCTTCAATTAAAGCTTTTCAACTCAGTCCACATCCATAGTAATTGTCACAAATATACAGGATTACAGGCTTTTGGAGGTTACAGTATAGAAATATTATTAACAAATTGCAACATAGTACTAATTGCAACACTGTAAAGCTTTGACATTGTCTTCAAAGTGAAACACAATGTTCCTTATTTCATCATGTGGCTATGATTAAACAACATGTTCTGCATGAAATGAATACAAAGCACTAACATAATGAACAAAGAGAGAAAATGTGTAAAAGCCATTCAGTTACAAGGATAGTCAGTAAAATGTTTAAGCCAAGTCTAAAAATTTGGCACACAGGTGAAAAATATCAAGGCAACTAAATGAAGTTACATTTCTCAAGGTGAAAATTAAATATGCAGTTTTATCAGCTTCACTGCCCTTCTCTGTATTGGAACCACTACCAAATACAGCTTCTTATGGTTGAAGGTAATCTATAAACGTTATATGCCATGTGATTTAAAAAAATATTTATTTTTGCGGGATTATAAAATGTTAAATGACTATACTGTATATTTATAATGAATCTTTGAAAATGTTCCACCACATGCTTCACTGCACCCTGTGAAAAAATAGTAGTGGAATGATTAACTTGCACACTGAACAACTCATCCACTATGAAATTGCATGGCTTAAATGTCCTTTTGACATGCCAAAATCTCTAAATGAATCTATTATATTGTGCAGGCAGAGTAATGGTGGATACAAAGGACAAAGCGCATCTGATTGTAAAGTTTTTCTTTGATTTGGCTTTGAATGTATTTTACATGAGAATAGTTTTTGTATTTTATACATTAATGATCAAAACAGATAGCAATATTGGTGATAGTATTGCATAAGCAGGTATATTAAATTAACTTTTATTTACCATTAATCCTTTATACAAAAAGATAATCCTCTGAGTATGTTAGTATTTTTAAAGACTTACCTATAAACATTTAGTCATTCATTACAAGGCATTACAATAAAAAATAATGGACTGTAATCTAATGGCTGATTTGTATGGTTCTATGTTTACGGCCTCTTGTTATTTACAGTATGTCACAATAGTTATATTTATTGCAGATTAATTACAGTATTTTTAAAAACCTATGTGTTATGTGTACATAAAAGCAGAAAGTTTGGATAATACCAAGGAAATGTTTTATTTTTAAAATTGGTTTTATGGTTACTGTTTACCTTATATTACTTTGTTTTTAATGATTATTGGTAGCTGATAACCAAACAGGATCATATAAAGACCCCAGTTCTTCTTGTAAGTATAAACACAGTCATTGGTTTTTAATTCTAATATAATGACCTTTCTTTCAGGTTACTCAACAACAATCAAATTGAGTGGATTCCTGAAAAAGCCTTTGATGATCTGGAAAACCTAAAATACCTGTGTGTTAAGAACTTTTACTTTCTTTTATATAACAAGGCTTAGGTTATTTTCACCAAAATTAATTTTAGTGAAAATGAAAAGTGTAACTGAAGGCAATTCTTTCACAGATTCCATAAAAATAAACAATTAGCAAATAAATAATACTTTAGCCTTTTTTCAGGTAGCTAAACATAAAATTGCAAAACTAACAATGCTCTGACAGCATTTAATTGCAAATTTAAGAATGAAATAAACTTTAGAATATAGGAATATGATTGCTAAACATTAAAGGGATTTTAGAAATAGGTTTTCAGGTGACTTCTGTAATTCAGAAATCTGCTCCGACGTTTGTGTTTTTTTGTAAAATGTATCAAAATTATAGGCAATATTTTTATTCTATTGGATTAATTGTATTGTCTGAATCCCAAAGCAGTTCTCGTTAGTAGTTAATTTCACATTAAGATAAGACTTTTTTATCTTGCAGCTACCTGTATAAAAATGAAATTCAATCACTGGACAAGCAAGCATTTAAAGGTTTACATTCTTTAGAGCAGCTGTAAGTATGAAATCAATTTATTTTTTGTTTCACATTCTCTTTTCTTGTTATACACAATAGATTACCACATCTTGAGTATGCTCTTATTTCTTTCCACTGCACTCAGAAAAACATAACAACAATCTTGCATATAGCTAAAATCATTATATAAAAATGTGTCTGTATCATTACTGCTTTGTAGTTAAATCTCATCAAAGGTAAACTTACTGTAAAACGAGCAAACCAGGGCCAGAAAAATTGGTAGAACCTTTATTGTAGGTTGCACTCATACCTAGTATGGTGACAGGCAACACTGAGCTGTAGATGTTGCCTTAGATTGGATGAATCATTAAAGGGAGGTAATGACTACATGGTTATTAAAATCCCATGTCATTGTTGAAATGTGCAGGGGTTTAATTACCGGTGAGCTAGGTAAATTCTATTTTAGGTGTGTATAATTTGGCCAATCTAAAGTTTCCCCTTAATTGAACTGGTGAAAAAAAATACCACTTCTCCACTTAATCTGACATATAGTGAGGTTGCTGGCACATAATGGCTACCTCAGGGGATCCGGATGGGGAGAGCACTTCAGTAGAGGATGTAATGGGTCCCCTCCTGTCTGTAAAGTGCTTTGGGATTCTTTGAAATGGAAAATGTTCCACAAATTAACAACAAATAAAATGAATTAAAATTAAACTGAATAACAACAAATTAAAGTAGTTCAGGTGGGTAGCTGCGTCAGCATGCGTGGTCTGCAAAGGAACAAGTAATAGGTTTATTCCATGCTGAAAAGAGAAGAGAGAAAACACAATGTTTCGGCTGGGAAGCCTTCTTCGGGTGTGAGAAAGACAGGGCAGAGCGAGGGGCAGGGAGAGGGCACTCAGGAAGTGCAAAGTGGAGAGGGGTGAAGAGAGGTGTGAAGTCAAAAAGAATAGAGAAGAATAAATGTATAACAAAGAAAAGGTATATGAAATACTATTTTCTCATTGAACAAAATTTATGTATACTTTTTTTTCAGTCTATTTTCTGTCATATTTAAAATACTTGTACTGTTGAAACCATTATATATTTCCTTCATTTTAAGGTACATCTTCTGTAGCCTGCACTGAAGTGTTGCATTTCTTTTAAATATTGTTGTATCATTACAATTACATTAATTCCATTTCAATAATGTATGAAACTAACATTTTTCAGTGTATTTTTTATTGTAATGAATTATTTTCTCTTTTTACTAGGTTTTAACAAGTTGTACTTTACCAAAGTAAATTGTTGTAGACCTGCAAACTATTACTAACGAAACATTATACTATTTTTAGCTTTCATTCAATGCCTTATCTACATTATAATCCATTTGGAAATCTTGAAGTGCAAACACATGAATAACATTGTAACCTCTGATTTTAACCAAATGCTTTTCTTTTTTAAATAAAAATATTAAAATTGTTTGGTTCTTGAACAGAAAGTGTACATTGCATATATTTCTAATTTACATACGTACATATCATATAGGTAAAACGGAAAATGTCAAAATGTATAACATTTTTTACAGATTTGTTCTGTTTTCTCATATCACAAATTAAACAGACTTTCAACAGTTTTTAATTGAATTCCTGTTTTACTTTGTAGTAACAGCTTGAATGAGATCTGATTACTAATGTTAACTTTTGATGTACATTTCACAGATACATTCACTTCAACCACATAGGAACACTAGAGCCAGATACATTCAGTGGCCTTCCCAAACTGGAGAGATTGTAAGTTAAACTTGTACCGACATTGTGTGCACTGTGATTTTTTCTTTAACTCAAATATATTAATTTTTCTATTTGCATATATACTTGATATAAGTAAATATAAGAACTTAACAATTAACAATTTCTGTCATAGCAGACAATACGAGACACTATTTTGTTACCATTAGTGGTGGTCACCACAGTAACGTCAGTGGTCACCAAAGTAACTTCTTTTATTAACAATCAAGTAAATCTATAGATCTACACATGAAATAATGTGCTGTTTAAACAAAATTAAAAGAGTTGAAGTCTCAGTTGAAAGCAGTCAGTTTCTTCACATTGAAAATCGATCTACTGCACCTATTCAACAACACCAGGTTTCTTACACTTTTTAACAGCTGAATCCATCTTCAGTCCTGTGTCTATTCAGTTAGCACCTTTTTTTTCAAGCCAGGCAACCCAATCCAACTTCCACATGTCTTGGAATTAATTTGTTCACTGGAGTCACCATGCTGTCTTCCTTCTTCCTCAGCTTGTCCTGATGATGATGATGGTGATCATCACAGCGTGCTCAGGGCTGCCCTCCATCCTGTTCTCTATACCTAGCCTTTTTCTCTGCCCCTATGGTGTCTGCATTACCTTGTTCTCCATATTCTGTCTTTTCTTTTTACCTTCACTTTCATCATCAGGTGTCCTACCCCCCCCCCAAGGCCCCAGGAATGTCCCATCTCTTTCTCTTCCCATACCCCCTTCCCTACCCTCACCATTGGTGTAAAGATGATGTGGCATCTCCCAGCACCTCTCCTTGCATCTCTGTTTTCCATTCTTGTTTTAATTTCCTTTAAAATCTGGTAGATTTTTGTATGGGTGATGGACAGTGATCTCTGATCCATTGTCTTGGGCAGAAAAGGAATAGGAGACTAAGAGGAGCCAGGCTGCACGATATACCTTTAGATAGTTTCAGAATAAATAGTTTTATGATGTCCTTGTCTGTTTCAGACTAGGAAGATGTTTCTTATCAGTTGGGCGCCTTTTAGCTTCATTCCTGTGCTTTACACAGAAGCAAAGATGCTTTGTCAAGGCAGAAGAAATATCATTAGAAATCTTTATTAACACTTAATTCCAAGTGTAATACCTTGCTACTACAGATGCATAATAAAGGGCCCTTTATAGTCTTAAAATTATGTGTTTATAAAAGCATTAAGGTAATGGAATATGGAAGATATAAGCCTCTAGAACATGCAGTTGCCTTCTAATTTACTAAAGCAAAACATAATCAAAATTTTGTGTTTGATGGCACTTTTACTACATTTGGTTTTGTAGGTTTCTTCACAATAACAAACTAACTCGAATCCCAGATGGAACCTTTCATCATCTGGACTCATTGAAAAGACTGTAAGTAGTAATACTGTTTGATTCATTTTAATTAAAAAAAATCTGTTGTTACTTCAAATTGGATTTCAGTACAGTCAGTAAGTAAGGACTACTAAATTTAGCAGTATACACCCTAAAATATAATGTTTCACCTTTTCCTAAACTCTGGAGTCCCCCATATTTAAATCTCTTTTTAAATGCTCATTTAAGGGTGTTTCCTTAATTTATGTTTATTATGGAGAGGTTTATTTATATATAAATGGTCCTATGTTATCATCCTTTTTTTTATTAAACTTACCTAAAAACTACAATGATAAAATAGTTATGCAAATGAATAACCATGGATTAAATGTCATTTTGTTTTCAAATGGGTGCAGGCGTTTAGACTCCAATGGCCTAGTCTGTGATTGTGAATTAATTTGGCTGGTTGAACTGATGAAGGAGTATGCAAAGAATGGGAATACTCAGGCCGCAGCAACCTGTGAGCATCCTAAGAGGCTGCAAGGCAGGGCTGTTGCTACAGTAACAACAGAGGAGTTCAACTGTGGTGAGTATAAATGGCTGTGGGTTCTGTCTGTCACTCTCCCTTGGTTATTTGCTACTTTATTCATGGATGCATACAAACTTTCTTGAGGTTAAGCACCTCTTACGGAGGGGATGAGGATAATCCGACTCTATTCTGTATAATCTGTTCTATAATCAAAGTTTCGGACATAACCTTTGCCAGTCACAAACTAATGTACCATTCAGTTAGTGCTGTGGTGGTAAGAAACACATGATACATAAAAGCACATAAAGTCTTTTGAGCTTGGTGTTTTTATTGAAGTGCCTTATACAGTACTACTTGTTTTTTTTTAACACACAAGTTATTATACTATATTTTACAACATTGTAAAAGAAGATTGTTTCACTCAGTTTTTAGTTCATGAGGAATAACCACACCCAACAAGAACATGTGTTTAGGAATGTTCATTGGCAAGTAAGACATTAGACATTTTATCTATATCCAGATTATTGTGGTCCAACCACCTGGCCATAGGACAAGAAAGTTAGGATCCCTCTGTGAGGAAGAGTTTATCAAAGATGGAAAACGTCATTTGCTGCATCTTCACTGCCATTTTATGCCTCTTGTATACAGAGATAAACAGTTTTCTTCTTTGTCTCTAATGAAAAATGAACAAAATGTTTAGATATTGATGTTAGAATGGTGAAATTACTACCTATAATGTATTGTTTTTATTCTGAAGTGGTGCAGATAGAAAATGAAAAATGCAAGTTCCATAAAAAAAAAACACCAACAACATAGGGCTACATTTTCACATTCAATAAAAAAAACATGTAATGTCATTTGTTATTGGATGAAATCAATGCATTTCAATTATGGTTTACTGCAGTATAACACAGACTGCTGTAACTTCTGTAACATCTGTCAGATGGATGGTAAGCTTTTTGTTTTTGAAGCCAAAGACTTTAATGCAGAATGAAACGTATGCACATGATAACTGTAATTCTTTTGATTACCTACTCTTCAGCCAGTAAAAAAAGACATCCTCAGTATGACTGGATGCCTTATCCATTAAAGAATGTATATCCTGCTGTGTTAAGCATTTTCCATTTTGTCAAATGGAAAGACATTTGTAAAGCATGGTATAATCAGTGTTATGTGTTATGTAGTATTATCAGTGTTATGGAAATTGTAGAAAAACATGTTTTGAATTCATGTAGTATAATTACAATATACGATTCTTATACTGTTCTTACATTTAAGTTATGTTTTTCATATTTTCAGAAACATAAATTAATTTGGGAGTGATGTAACCTCTACACATGCTTATGACTGAGAATCAAATCAAACGTGATGGAAAAAAATATTTTCATTTCCTTTTGATATTAAAAAGTATTAATATCTGATGTTTAAATACTGTATACGATGGTTCCTAAACCCTAAGGCATTTCATTCAGACATTTTATTCTATATTGCAAATTAAATGTAGTCCTAAAAAATGACTAGGCTTAACAAAACGCGGTATTGTTGTGCATTTGATAAATAAACTTTGATTGTTGATTGTTGTTTTAATAAATCAGTAATGTCACTTTTCACATTATCACTGAAATTGCTGCAAGAAGGGTTACAAGAGGGTAAAGCAGTCAGGGGGTTAAGTTCACTATATATTACAGACTAATGAACTGTGTGAGAAAGAGCAAAGCAGTACAGTCGAGTCGCAGTTTACGGGCTATGCGGTCGCAGCTTTATGAGGTCGGCTGCGGAAAATAAAAAAAAAATTGAATAAATGCTTTATTCTCTAAAAAAAAAACGTCAAGCACGCCTACGAGAGCTAGTTAGTGAGCCTATACAGTCGTCTTATTTACTGTTTTATACTTATATTTAATACCTTGAACTACCGTAAGAAGTTAGTAGTTTTTTTTTTAATAAGGGTTATTAGGGTAAAATTTGACTATACGCGAATTTGGCTTTAGACTCCACTCAAAATCCCAACCCCCGCTTAAGTTATGAGTCAACTGCACTGTAAGATGCCGGATATCAGGCACAGGTATCAACATTTTAGTGAGAGAATCAGGTCAGAGAAGCTATAAATTTACTGAATATGTGCCTCTTCTTTTCTGTCCTGAGAAACAATCACATAAACTGAGACATTACTTGTGCAGTACAGCATATACTGCTGAAAACATGCATTGTGTAGCTGCAGTATCTCCTGCAGTGGCTCCGATGCATAACATTTTTACGTTTAAAGAAAAAATCTAACAGGTAGTAATCTCTCCAACTGGAGCCTGGAGGTGAAAGCCAGTTGAAGCAAAACCTGTCATTGAAACAGCTACAGTACATAAATCTGAACATATTCCATATTCCTGTTGTCCTGAGAGTCATTCCTTTACGACTACCCTGAAAAACAAATAAGTGGAGACTGAAAATTAAGTAATTTACATGAATAATCTGTTGGTACAATTAACATTTTTTACAGGCGTCACTAGTGATAATTGGTGTTAGGTGGTTAGAAATGCATTCAGAGGTAGAATATTCAAAGGAATATGCAGAAATCCCTTAAAAGTAGCGTTTACCTTGCTCGCAAAATGCAAACACAAAATATGGAATTAAAGTAATAATTAGATGAATAACAACAACACTTCATACATTTTATTCTGAAATCCTTAAGGTTTCAGTGTCAGTGCACAGCTAAAATTATTTCCTTTGGTGAAAAGAAGCCATTAGTATGTTTATATAATTACACTATATTGCATTGCAGTACAGTATACTTTCACCTCATCAGACTAATGGGAGGAAAGGGGTGTTTGGTGTTGCCGGCTATACTTTGAAATATTTCAAGCTCAGAAAGAACATTTGTATATACTATAGGAAAACAAATCACCAAAAGTAAACCAAGTTTTTGTGCAATTGTAATAGACCACTGGAAGCTCACTCATTATACCTGTATATTTGAGGACCCTCGGTCTCCCAGGCGTGCCAACTATTACAGGTGTCCGTCTACGTAAGCTGTCATCTTTTGCACACAGTAAGGCTGAGATCCTTTCCTTGCCGATTTTATATTCTTATGTAGATGTCTCTTGATTGTATGCCTGGGTATTTTACGGGAGCAAATGCCAAAAGAGACCAGTTTCGTCAGCCTTGTACAGTTGGAATAATATGAACCCTTCAACTTAGATTAATTTATTCATACTGTATCCTTATGGAATGGTTCTGTCATTTTAGTAGGTGCACTCAAAGCTTTTTTATTTTACTATATTGTGATATTTACAAAATTACCAAAAGCCTTTGTCTCTGCATTTGAAATTCAGTTTCATGTGTTTGGGGAGTCTATTAGCTGCAGATTATAGTTCATCACTATGGACATCCTTTTTTCTGTCAAAACCCTGTTTACTAGAATTTGTCCATTAAATCCAAAGTCTGTAAAGTGAACTCCATTAAAGTAGAGGGTTTACTGTAGTCATCTGGAACTGAGAAAATAAGACAGAAATAAAGCGTTACAGAAATGACACATGGCCATTGTAAGGTAAGCAGTTTTAAGACAAGGAATTACTTCACCAGAACAATATGCATTTAAAATCTTTATCTTAATTAGTGTATTGTGCATTAATTATGCTACACGATATAGATGCAGATAATTCAGGAATGTGTTCTAGAACATATTAAAACACAAAACAGCAAATAAGAAATGGGGAAATTGAGGTGCCAGTGATTATATGTTTAAGCAGAGTAGCCATAAAATTGAAGTTTTCCTCTTCACAGAGAGACCTCGAATCATCTCAGAACCCAAGGATATTGATGCCTCTATGGGAAATACTGTCTACTTTTCCTGCAGAGCTGAAGGCAGTCCCAAACCTGAAATTATCTGGATCCATAACAAGTAAGCACTGAGAAATTGGATAATTCATTGAAAAGCACGTCATTTCCTCCATTAAAAATTCGGAGACTATTGATTTACTGTATGGTATAGTGATAAATATCTTGTCACAAATAAACATTTCTTAATATCTATATTATATATGATCATTTATGATAAAATTTATAGATTGCTATTTAAAAAATATGTACTATACAATAAATTTGTCGATCTTGAATAAGAATAGCTACAGTGTAATACAAATAAGAGAAGCAAGCAACGTTTCCCCCAGAAATTCAGCTCATAAGTTAATTAGTAATCCAGTCCCTCTCCACATCCCAGAGGTCCTCATCTCTTTTACATTTCCTTATTTTTTTGTCTCCTGTGGAATCAGTGACTTTGAACTATTTTTTTCCATAATACTCTGTTTAACTGATTCTGTGGAAGACAAGTGATTTGTGGAAAAATTATTGCACAGGATTCCAAGCGGCTGATAGGCAGGCTAAGTACTTTTTGTGTACATTGTTAGGCAATCCATACACAAAGGCTCTCGGAGGCTGGCCTAAGCCATGCACACTTCACTTTTCAACAACACATATTATATATTGCAAAATGTAATGAAAAAGTAAGTACAGCCCCTAAAGATGTCATGGTCTAATGTATTTAGACATATTTCAGCTTACCCTTGTCTTCACCAAGCCCTATTAGGTAACTAAAAGTGAATAAATAACACAATAGTTCCACTTTGTCGTTTTTTACTTAAACATGTTAACCAGGACTCAATATCTATGAAAAAGTACTATAAGTGCACCCTTAGTTCTACTATCTCAATTAATAGGGTATGTACAGGACAGTAGAATCAGGTGTACCAATGATAAGCTGATAATCAAAAAGTGATTTCCACCTATTTATAGATATAAGACAATCTTTAAATAAAGAAAATTCAACACAGTTGCCAATCTACCCAAGAGTGTCTATCTTCAAGATCTGACTGTATGATGCTCCTAGAGGTCTAAAAGAACCCTATGATTGTATCTACAGGCCTCTCTCACTATTGTAAATGTCAGAGTTCGTGAGTCCACCATCAGAAAGTGAATAAAATGGCTTTCATGGGGAAGGATAGCTTGGAAGAATTCTTGCTCCTTAAGAAAAACATTTGCAACATGGCTTACGTTTCTAAGTTTAAAACAGCATTTGAAACAAAAACACAATTTCTGAAACAATGTGAACAAAGTTGAGTTGCTTGGCCATAATGCAAAACATCATGTCTTGTGAAAACCAACCACCACCTTTGACTAGAAGAACCTCATACAGTACCTCCCTTCAAACAGAGTGGTGATGTGATGGTTTAGGCCTACTCTGCTGCATCAGGACCAGGACAACTTGCTATCATTGGGTCTACCATGTATTCCAGACTATAGCGATTATTCCAGAGGAAAATGAAAGACCATCTGTCCACCAGCTAAAGCTGAACTGAACGTGAATCATACAACAGGACAATGATCCAAAACACACAAACAAACCTTTGGCAGAATGGCTTAAAAAAGAAAAACTGGATTTTGAAATGGCTAAGTTAAAGTCTTGGCCTAAACCCCATAGAGATGCTGTGAGCTGTCCAGACAAGAAGGGCCACAAACGTCACAGAGCTGAAGCACTTCTTTAAGGAACAGTGAGCCTGAATTCCTCCTAGGTGATGTGAGAGACTAATCAAAAATTACAGCAAAGGTGGTAGAGTTTTATCTAAAAAGACTTGCAATTGTAGTTGTTGCCAAAGGTGCTTTCACCAAGTGGTATCTTAGGGGATGAATACCTAGTTATTGATTTGTCTTTGCAGTTTTGTTCTGACTTCTTTCACCATAAACATACAGTGTGTGTTTAGTTTGAGCATTCAGGTTTTGCTTAAACATATCCACTTAAATATTAATATTTAAAAATAGACACAATTTGTAATTCAACAAAATGGGCCATCATTGAAAGCTACATGAATGCCTTTGCAAGGCACAGTAACTACATTTTTGCAGACTTGCTTAGTAAAGTTTTAGTTTAGGTTATGACTGTTCTTTCAGTGACAGATTGATTGAAGTTTTCATGTTACAAATTATCTGTGGCTACATCAGGTCAAGCTGTTGTATGTTTTGTTTATGCTTTTTATTATATTATTTATTCTGACAATTTTTCATGTCATGTTACATTAAAGTGGCTGCTCAGTTTATAGTGACAAGACTGTGCTCACATGTTCACAGAGAAAATGTGTACAAGCTACAAAATATACTATAGCTGATCAATTCAATATTATTGTAGTCACTCACTTTTGTTGAAGAACAGTGAACAAGGCTAGAATTTTACTTTTGTATATTTGTTTCTGAGCACTTTAATTGGAGAATGGAAACAGCTGGGGAGAAGGGTAATATTTGTTTGGGTGTTGTTGTACTTTTGTTTTTTATTGTTCTCTTTTTTGTGTTCTTGTTAAACTAAAATGAATTATTACAAATATAAAATATTCAATTTAACCTCTAACCAATTAGATATTCCTGCATCATATTTTAATTTTTGTAATCTAGTGTAAATTTCTTATTTTACCTCAAATTATCAGTTATAACACTTCAGAATTCATTCCTTGTTTTTTACTGTAGTTGTCAAAGTGATTATTTTAAGTTGAGCTAATTATAAGTTCTAGAAGCTTGAAAAGCCATTGTAGCTTGCTGTTATAAGACTATCAGTTGAGTACACGTTGCAGTATTATTTACTGGCATCAGATTAAAGGAATTACTTCAGCAAATTCATAAAGTTACAAGAGAAATGGCTAAATCTTTTGTAGCAGGTGTTTTAACATTTTTTAACTCAATGGAAACAGGGAAATTCATTATGCTGATGGCCAATTGTTATAAAAATCGGGTTCCATACTAGTGTGTGGTCACTATTGGAACCAAAACAAGGTGTACATTTTTCTCTCATTAGTATAAGAGCCTGGATGAGTATATACATGTTCACTGGTCTCAGAGGTTTAGATTCCATTTGTCATCTTAGCTTATTCCACAAAAAATTAAAAGAAGCTCAAGTCTTGTATGTAGGGTAAAACCTTAAATTTTTATCTAGCAAGAAAGCTGTTATTACATGAGCAGCATGATGACATGCATCATCCTGCTGGAATGCTGTCATGTCATGATGAGTCCATGGAGACATTTCATGGCAGACTCGAGTGATAGAGTGTGTTGGACAACCATGCAGTAGGAGTAGATCCACTCTCAGTCCATGTCAAAAGTACACAAAAAAATCCTCAGTCCAAAGGAATTTCTTGTGTGATGTACAGTAGTATGTAGCCAGTGTTTTCTACATTTTGTTTCTGTAGTTAAAGATTTTACTGGAATATAATCTCTGATTGAGGAGGATTTAGCATGAGCATTGCATCACTTCCAGCTTCACTGTTTATAGAGTCCTCCCATCCCAAAAGAGGCAATAATGCCAATTAGTAATCAAAAGGATGAAATGGAGATATTCCATAAAGCCAAAGGACTATGAGCTATTTTTTCTACGAACAGGTACCTCTTGCATTTGCCAGATAATCCAGGGCTGTGGGTGAAAAAGAGTAGGCAAGAAAGTCAGGGGTCAACTCTGGACTATGTAGCACCCAAACAAGGAAGGGAGTTTCATATCTCCGACTATAACGGCGGATGGGGGAAGGGAATGATGAATCACAGAAGGCATTGCTCAAGCTGGTGTGGAGGTTAAAAAGAGAAAAAAGAAGAAAGAAAAAAGCAGACCAGACTGGGGCTGTGGAAGAGGTGAAAGAGAAAGTGATAGTGGGAGAGAAAAGATGAATATAGAGGACTAAATGGTGTCGGCCCAGATGGCACGATTGTGCTATAGTTCCATGGATGGGTGACGTCATCAGGATGCGGCAAGAGACAGGAAAAGACAGCATGATAAGTTTGGGGAAGGGTAGTTTTCATAACATGTGGGCCGGTGTGACTGGGAAAGAGACAAGATTGGAGAAGAGATGCAAGAATTAAGATGGATTTAGCAGCTGGAAGAGTTGGAAGTTGGATATGACTGTTGTGGCTGAGATTGGGTTAGGGAGGTCAACATGCTGACAATGACTGCTGAAAAACATTTAAGAAGGTCAGTGAGCTCAGAGAAGTGGAAGAAGGAAGCTGAGAGGTGGTATTGGCTCCTGAAGGGTCCAGATGGAAGATGGAGTATTCAGAAACAGAGAAGTGGATGTGAAGAGTGTAAAGCCACTACATGACAAAAAATAATTACGGTGCCATAACATCTGCTTTACTCACAAGCTACTTCTTAAATGTCTCTTAGACTAATAAGCCATTGAAAGGGAAATTTCATGTTACTTTGCTTTTCTGTCATATTAATTTAATTTAAATTCCACAAGCTGACACCACAGCTCAATTTGCTGTTAATATTCTGACACTTTTCAAATGGCAGTGTGATATGACCCTTTTAATGAATCAAACAAAAACAAATTTTGTTTTATTTGTGTTTGTGAGCCCCCACTACCCCTCTGTTGCAAATGACTTCAAATCTTTATTTTTTAAGGTGGTAATACTGTATACCATAAAGCCTTTGTCACTTTATACCCCTTTCTGATGTTATGGAGACCATATTGACAAGCAATGTGTGTGTACACTGTTTTAGGAACACAATTTTATTCCATTGTAGATCTTATACCACAGCAATAGTCACTTTATTGTTCCATACAGTATGAGATGGTAAACACATTTTTGGCATTAATGACTGCTGCAGTTCTACTTCTGTCATGTGCAGACACCTTTGTGACAGCTGAAGGAAGGTATAGTGTGATATTCATTACCACAGCTGCCCAGTGAGAAAATTCAATGGCATTAATTTCATAAGAGGGGATGATATCTCTTCCAGAATCTTTGTCTTCCCATGATTCTTTCCTAAGCTTATGCACCTTGCAGGTCTTGCACTTGTAAATTTATTTATATTAGGTTTAAAACATTTTTTTTAATTGAAATATGACTAATGATCCATTCATTAATAGAAAATAACTAATTTCCTGGCAAGGGACATGCCAACCCAGAGCCTATCCCAGGAGCACAGAGTGCAAGAAGGTACTTCATCATTGATTTAAAAAAATGTTTAGAGTCATGATGTTCCCACTAGTTAGGCAGTGAGTTCCATATACTGATACTGTATGTGGTGCTTTAACACCCATTGTGTAGATCTTGGTCTTTCTCAGATCAAGAAAGATTCAAACAGTATATGTCAACTTAAAAGTTCATTCATACAATAAGTTTCTTAAGCCTGGTAATAGACTATTCAAGCACTTACAGTGCCTATCAAAAGCATTCACCCCCCCTTGGACTTAACATTTTGTTGCTTTTCAATATGAAATCATAATGTATGTAACTGCACTTTTTTTAATAAGTACTGTAAGTGCAGGAACACAGTATTTCCTTCTTACTATTTCCTAATTATTTATTAAATTTCCAATCTAAGAGTTCATAATTCCACAGATCATCTTTCTGTTATTCTGCAGAATTTTCTGAAGTGAAAGTGTAAGATGTTTTTTCTAAAGAATTGTTGAATACCTTTGTTGATAGCACTGAAATCGATATGAGGGTTGACATCCGATTAAATCTGCTGGAAGATGGCACATTGATGATACAGAACACCAGAGATTCTGACCAGGGGACTTACCAATGCATGGCCAAAAATGTTGCTGGAGAGACAAAGACTCAGGGAGTGGTTTTAAGGTATTTTGGTACCCCAAGTGAGTGAACTTTTAAATATGTTCAATGTTTAGTCACCTTTTGTGCTTTCCAACTTATCACAATTATATCCCAATTTCTTGCAATTCATGAAATACTAGACAGAGCCTACTGGTGCAGATGTTATATAAATACATAGTATACAATTTTATTTGCATAATATACAGTATTATATTATCCTTACATCCTGTTTATTTTGTTTATTATTTTTTATCCTGTTTATTTTGCAAGCAAATTTTCAAAGTTATTAAAACACATATCTCCTGTTTGTTAGGGAATACTGAGCAATAAACACGTATGTCTTTTCTTCGTTCCCCTGTACAGTGAGGTACGATGGACTAAGAAATTAGGAATCGACTTAAAAGGCATACCAATATTTACAATTATTAACAACTACAAAGTCATATGTTTACTCCTATTATTTAGAGTAAAGAAATTGTGAGTACCAGGGCCCTGCTTTTTGAAACAGGAAAACAGTATTCAACCCTGCAACTGAGCCCCAGATACCACAGAGGAAAAAGGGAAACCTGTTTCTTATAAAGTAAATTTCCCTACACAGGACTAAAATGCTCTCTTAATGAAAACTAAAAAATTGGGACTTTCCCTATTCCAAATAGAACATTACAAAGCAAGTGAGAGGTTACTTTAGCCTGATGGATACCATGATTCCACAACTATAAGCAAACATTCCTATTGCTTAATCCTGTTGGTTTCTTCAGTACTCACATTAAATGGACTTGTTCCATTGTCTAGTCTGCCAAAAGAAAGAACCCTCTCATAGTGCTGTTTCTTTTCTTTCTGCTGTCAATGACTGATTTAATTTATTTTTATTTCATGTCAGTATGTCTTATCTATCCTGCATTGAGGCCCAGTTATGCACTGTACAATCCCCAAGAAGGATGGCTTAATACCCTCACTAAAAATAGTCCAGCCACTGGTAAATAGTAGTATGATTTGGGCTCTGGGCATTGTTAACAAAAAAGACAAGAAACAGCTGTGGAGTTCTTGTCCTGACAGAAATTTCTAAAGCAAACCTTACCCTAAAGAGGTGCTATGAGCTGTATTTTTCAATACCCCCTCCTGCATGTAAGATAGTATACCAAATTAGTAATATGCATTGTCATATGTGCTTTTGCCCCTGAATTTTTATGATAGATCTTTATGTATATCTTAATAATAATAATGTCAACATTTTTATACAGTCTATTTTCTGTCTCCTTCATATTTTATTTTAGATAAACCCAGTTTTGTGATACAGCCCCAAAACACAGAGGTGCTTGTTGGCTCCAGCCTTACACTGGAATGCAGTGCTACAGGAGATCCCCAGCCACATGTCACCTGGACAAGAGGGAATGGAAGTCTGCTCAGCAATTCCACTCAGTACACCATCACATCATCAGGGGGTCTCTTTATTCAGAATGTCACTTTGGCAGATCATGGCGAGTTTATCTGTCATGCCAGTAATAGTCAGGACTCCATTCAGGCATCAGCAAGCATCATTGTTCAAGGTTGGCTCCAAGTGGCTTTTAATTTTTTTCCCCTCACTGTTGAAAGAGCTGAAACATTGATTCGGAGTTGTATTAAAAATGATTACTGTTACGTAAATAATGTGCTTTCTTTGCCATGTGAGTCATATCCTCTCCATTTGTGGAGGGTGGTTACTCAGAAAATACTGCAGCATTTGTTAAAAAATAATACTGAAAAGTAATGAAAGATTGCTTTTGTTTCTTGTACTTCACATGAAATATCCCAGTGTCATCCCAAATGAGTATGTTATAAAAAAAATAAAAATGTGCAGTAGTTACAACTTTACAAGAATCAAGTTATATGGAGAATGTAAAAATTGAGTAAATATCCTGTTTAATTCCTTGGCAAAAATGTATTTATCTAAATAGTAGACTCCTTTATCCAACTTGATTTAGAAACTGTGCAATAATACATATGGTAATTACATAATGAAATACTGTAGAAAAATAAGTAAAAAATGCAGGTTTTGACAAGAAAGGAATGAGGTACAATAGGCTCTTGTTAGGCACAGAGAATTATGAAATCAGTGTCCATTGAGTGGACACTGAAAAAATGAATTTTTGATTATGAGTAGGGAAATTGCTACATCTGAAGGTTTTTCACCAACTCTTGCAAAGATAATTAAAAAAAAAACATTGAGGCAGCTCTAAAACTTTCAACAAGCTGGTGAATGATGATAGGAAAGTGAGTATTGTGCTAGAAATAAAAACAAGAATGTTATCATCCTGCAGTATTTTGTTAATTTTTAAGATTGATAGTGATGGAGGAGTTCTGCATTTCATGTATTGAAATTTCAAGAGCAATATTTTATTCTGAGATTAATACTGTCTGAACTTCAGACAATTAAGGTAGCTCATTTGGCTGCTAGTAGCTAAATGATCCATGGATCATGTCCAACCATGCTGAAAAGAGAAGAAAAGAAACACAGCGTTTTGGCTGTGGAGCCTTCTTAGGTGTCTTCGTTCTGTTTCTTTTCTTCTCTTTTAAGCATGGAATAAACCTCTACTTGTTACTAAAAATGTAAATGATAAGTCAAAATATACTGTATGCCTACAGTACATGTTAGTCATTCAGACTTGGTCTTTCACACCTTATACTTGTATTGTATGTTTTTCACTTACAATCACAGCTGCTATTGTTAAAAGAAATAATTAAGCAAGACCAACCTTTTGCCCATGTCGACTGTCATATTATTTGATTCTGTTATTTTTTTACATTCTATGTTATTTATGTATAAAATAATTGATGAAATCCATTAAATCTGAATGTTGCATTTAAAGTTTTCATTAGTAAACAGTATTTAAAGGAATTTACTCCTACTGTAGTTTCTGATTTTGTAGAGCACAGGAAATTGTAGGAAATGCTTGTGAAATTCCCTGCAAATATTGAGTGTTCGGCAATATAACCACGCTAAAAGTTAAAAGTTAAAAGTATACACAATATATTACAGGTACAGTATGTGCAAATATTGTATGGTTTAACCAGTAAACAGAAACAAATTTTATATGTTCTGTATATGCTTATTTAAAAAGCATCAGGCAAATATGCACATACTGTATAAGGTATACAGTTCATCTGGTCAGTTTTTCTTTCCTACCCTTGATTTGCTTTCAGCTCCTCCAAGGTTTACTATGGTTCCCAGAGATCAGGCTGTGATAGAAGGTCACTCAGTGGACTTTCCATGTGCAGCTGTTGGAAATCCTTCTCCTGTCATTGCATGGACTAAAGCAGGTAATACATGTGTGCTTTTTAAATGACTGTTTCATGGGAAATAGGATCAGCTTCTTTTCTTAGCCTTTCCCATATTATTTGACTCATATTGCTCTGTCAAAATGTTATACTTAGCTAGAACAGGATGGTGAGTGTGACTTTATTTATTCAAACTATTTTTTTCTTTTATGATTCGTTTATTGAAGTGGTGAATTGCTTTATGGAAACTCTACAAACTTTAGTATTTCGTATATTTTACATGTAGTTTGTATTTTAACATACAGTGTACAGTGTTCTATGAATGAGAGATCATCTGTAAATGCATTGTCTTTTTATTACTCTAATAGCTTCTTGAAATTTGCCTTAACACTTTAAGAAGATGTATGGCAATAAAAGGTTAAATAAATCCTTAGTAATGAGACATGCAGTACTGTTTTGGCATATATTATGGATTTTATTGTTTTAGAAGAATTACATCACTCTTCCTGAACCTCATAAAACCAGATGGAAAGGTTACACTATTAAGAGTAAACATGCATCATCTTAATGTTTACATGAAATGGCATCAGTGACCATCATTTTATTGTTTTTTAATTAATATAGTTGGAACATCTGTATAGTTTTATACACCGTTTTCATTAACTTGCTAGTGTAAGATTCCATGATTGTGTCATGTTGAGAAAAATTATAAAATGAAATGAAAAACACAAAGTGAGGTATAAAATTGCAAGATACCTACAGTACGTACTACCTGGAATGATACTTTTAGTTGTTTATTTTACCCAAATAACATCTGTATAAAAGAGTGCCTGACTGGTTTCCTTTTGTTTTAGGGTTTATTATATACTGTTTTACTTGCCAAATGACACAGCAGGCAGAGAAAAGAGGCCATTATTAATGTTTAGATTATTGAATGCACATGTCTCCTGCAAGCTATTAAGAAAAATATTCATAAAAATTAACAATACAATATTTTAGAAAAGTAAATAATGCTTTTGTAGCTTTGTATTTTGAATAAAGAAATTAAGAGCAGTCCTAGCATAGAAAATGGGAATGTAAAATAATACAGTATATGCAAGCCTGGGAGAGTATATTCTGGTGAAGAGAGTTAACCTAAAAACATTTTCATACTGATCTGTATTATTAACTAACTCAGTACAGTTTTGTTAATACTAAGAAACTTTTAACTATTTAATTATTAAGCTGCACATTTTAATTATCCCCATATCGTATTAGCACAAAATAACAACAGATTTTCCATAATGACACACAAATAATGTTAGTATCAGGGGAGTGCTTTTAACACAGGGGTTTCATGTTCAGTTTAGCCGAGTTTATTGCTTTGGAGGGTGATCCAAATTGCAGCATCACAAATTCACACAGTGAACCCACAGGGACATTTAAGATACATGGCCAAATTTAAATGCTTCCAAAAATATTCAGATCCAATCACAGTTTTCACATTTTCTTTTTAAAAGCAAAATGGAAATGCATGAGTATGTAAATCCATGGCTGTGGCAAACCTAAGTTAATTTAGGTGTACAGAATTACCTTAATGAACCACGCAATTAGTTGTGTGATCTCTGTCTGTGTACAACAATAGTGTTTTACATAATTTCAGAATGAATACATCTTACTCTATAAGGTCCTTCAGCCAGGTAGTGAATTTCAAGCAAAGATTCAACCATGAAAACAACGGTACCTTCAAAACTCAGTGATAATGTTGAAGAAAAAGGGCAGACCAAGAGAAGGGTACAAAACCACATAAAACTCTTTGAATATTATGAAGCTGATCATTACATTTGTGAAGTGTATTGTCCAACCCAAAAGTGGTCTAGATCAGGCTGTCCCTCCAAACTGAGTTGCTGGCCAAGAGGGAAACTGGTTGAGGATGCTACAGTGAGACCAAAAAGCCAGTTTGAAAAAGCTACATACTGTAGTTCAATGTCAGAGATGGGAGAAAGTGCTCTTTGGTCAAATCTGGTCCGTATGGCACCATGACCAGAAGGAAAACATTACTAAAAAAACATTTCAAATCTTGAATGGGGTTTGCAACAAAGAATTTAAGCATTTAAAACTCTATTGTCCAGGGAGTCCACAGCAGGCTTCACCTCTGTATTTCCAGAGACCAACACATGGACTTCAAGTAGTGTAAATGATCAGATTACCATTTTCAGTTCTTCTCAGGTTTCGAGGTATCTAACTTTCAAACGTGTGATTCCCTTGTGGCTGGGAATATATCGCTAGGTTCTTCTTCTCCTGTGCGGTGACTTCCCCTTTGGTATGGTGGGAAAACTCTAGTTGTAGCTCTCCACCTGATAGGCTAAGTGGTCCGACAACCACAGATAGTGTTTTAACCCACCACTGGGTGGTGCAGGGAAGTCCTCTATAAACTGTTATAGGATGACCCAGTAGTGCATTTCTTTGTACGTAGTTTCTTTGGGGGACAGCCAATAGTATCCCACATCTGGCAGGAGCTGGGCAAAGGCATGTACCGTAGATGTCAGGAACAGTTCTTTCCGGGCCCTATGCAGACGACGCGGTCCGATTGGTGAAGACACAATAGGAATAAAAACATGCAGGAGTAGGGATGGAGACAGGGAACGTGTCCAGAAAGTGCAGGTGTCCAGGGGAAGTGAGTCAGGGGCAAACAATCCAAGCATAAATCCAAAAGGATAATCCAAAACAGGAGGCAGAGTCCAAGACCAGGGGATCCATCCAAACTAATTAAAAACCAGAACCGGGTCGGGACTGGCGGGGCAGGGAATCAGGAACAGGAAACTAAAACCATAACGGAGCCAGACGCAGCAGGACCCAGGGCTCTCACGGAATGGGATTCAATGAGAAGCCTCGGGGTGATGCCTGCGTCTGGCTTTTAAGGTGGGGCGAGAGCTAAAACAGGTGCAGGTAATGGGGCAGAACAAGGAAGGGCAGGAGCGCCCTTAAGAGGGGGAGTAGCGATCGTGACAGTAGAGCTATCAGTGAACTTCATGTTCCTAAATTTTTGGGGTGGCCCTTGGTATTCAGCCCCACTCAATCCAAGAAGTCTTCCTCCAGTTTCTTATAATCTCTGGGATCCTGTACTCTCATTGCCATGGCCACCACCTGTGCCCCTCCCATTAACAGTGGAGTGAGTTGATATGCCCAAGTTTCCTTGTGCAAGACCATTACAACAAATTCAATCAATTTCTTGAATAAATGTATTAAAATTAATAAAATTATTAGTCATGTACAGTTCAACAGTTCAAGTGGTCAACAAAAGAATGCATTTAATATTATGGCTGGGCTTAAGGATTGAAATATAATAGCTAAATCAAATGAGTCAAATAGCTACATTTTTATGTCTTTAAGGTTTATAAAAATCTACTTTAGCACACAAAAGATTATTGCATAAACACATATTAGATATAATTTGCTGCTAAATAAAAAGTATTTTAAAACTTCCCGGTTGTGCTTTGGATAAAGACAACTTAAGCAGTTCAAATACAGAGCCAGATTTATTATGGAAGCTTTTGATAGTTGTCATGAGCCATAAAGTCATGGTGAAAGCTTTTGATGGATAAGTTGCCAAGAGAGGGCTGACTTTCCCCATTTCCTGACTGTGCAGGGGGCCAGCTGCTCAGTGACAGAAGGCTATCAGTGTTGTCATCAGGGACTCTGCGGATCAGTCGTGTGGCCCCACATGACCAGGGCCAGTACGAGTGCCAGGCTGTCAGCGTAGCTGGAGTGAAAAGACTGCCAGTGCAGCTGACTGTGCTGGCCAAAGGTATACCAACTCTCATGGCTCTGGGCCTTCATGCATCTGTTCAGAATATGAGATAATCATTCCTCTGAATTCACCTCACTTGCTCATGTGGTCATTTGCATCGTGGCTATACCTTTTAGTTTTTAAATTCCCCAATGGAAAGTGTATAGTACGAACGTATTTTAGAAAGTAAAACACTAATATACAGTATTTGTGACATGAGCAAAACGAATAAGCTGCATAATTATAATTTATCTGCTATTTTAAATAATGTTCTCTTGCTTTGTCTCTTCAATAAATTTAACTTCTTTCGATGTGAATGAGTATATATCATAGAATAGCATTCCTTACACTGGAAAATTATTTACAAAATAATACTGTATATGGAATCTCATTTTCTTAAAAGCAGTGAAAGGTTAACATTTTAAGTTAATTTGGGATTTATTCCAAATACTCTTTATAATGTATGTGGTAAAAAATACATAATCTCTCACCTAATTATATTCCTGTTGAAATGTGAAAAAACAATAATAGTGCCAATAGATGGCACCGATTGTTTATAAATCACAGTTAAAATATATCATATAAAAGCTTTTTGGCTCTTGAGTTATCCATTTACAAAACATAACTGCCTTAACTCCATTTTTTAGGTTTCATGTAGTCTACAAACACAAATCCCAGTGAGGGAATATTCCAGGGCTACACAATACGTGGTCCCTCCAATCTAATCCATTGCAGTACTTTCAGAGTTTGAAAATTATTATACAATTTACTTCTGGATCCTTGTTTCTGTAATTATGCTTTAGTTTTCTTCTCAATGTGTGTGTTAGGTGATTTTTTTAGTCTACATTTATTCTAAACTACAGAATGCAAATGTATTTTTTTGCCTAAAGTGCTTCTGATTGAAAATCTTGTCAACTAAACAACTGCACTGATGCCTGTGCTGCTTTGTGCACAGCTGCTCAGTTAAGAACAGTCCTGGAAATGGGACTTTAGAATTAATGCAGAATTAATTGCTTTTGAAAACATTTAAAAGTGGTCACCTTAAATAGTAAGTTAAGTGGTAGGCTTGGGGATACTAGTGTGGAGAACGTCATTTAAAATGTTTTTTTTCTGTTTTTTCTTTAGTTTTGCCTGTTTTTATACATGTACCTCAAGATGCCTCGACTGAAGTGGGGCAAGATGTGCAAATTTCATGCAGTGCTCTGGGAGAACCAACCCCCATGATCACCTGGACAAAGGTATGTTGTGCGTTTTTAGGGGGTTTATGTTCCACTGTGTTTTTCCCACTACTAAAACTTAATTCTCAGTGCCGCGAGTATCATGTATACTAGCAAATCTGTGCACATAATACCTCATTCAAAACTTTGTGAGAACAATGTTTGATGTGTGTTAAATTCAGGTTGCCAGCAAAGCAGCACTGACACTTGGTATTATGAGATGAGTGCAATGTATCTTACCAGGAGACTGAGATCCCTTCTATCATCCCTATTTACATGAGGTGTAAAGGAGAGCAAGGTTTACTACTCCTCTGCAGAAGAGAAGTTAGCTGGTGCAGTGATTAAACAAAAGGTCTCAGTACCAGAATGTTCCTAGTTCAAATTCTCGCTCTTTCACTGACTCTGATTGTTGTTCTGTTCATGTTACTTGCACTGTGTCCTTGAAATAAAGTGCTGGTATGGGGGATTATAAATAATAATAACATCACTTTATTAACCCTTTACAATTTCTTGCATTAGGAATTATATTTTCACATACCCCAGCTTGCTCTCCATGAGACACACAGACAGGGAGAGAGCGCAGGGTCTGCCATTGTATGGCACCCCTGGAGCAGTTGGGGTTAAGGGCCTTACTCAGGAACCCAATAGAGTAGGATTCCTCTGCCGGCTGGGGATTTGAACCGGCAACCTTCCAGCCACAGCCGCAGAGCCTTAGTCACAGAGCCATCACTATCAGCAGCAGTGTCAAAGTTCATCCTGTTTTCTCTATTTTATTCTGTAGAAGAATCAGCTAAATTATTTCTTATTTATAAGTAAAGCACCAAGGGACCTCAGGAAACCTGATGAAATGAGAAATTTAAAGAATAAAACATAGTACTAGTTTACTAAATGCACGGGCATTCATTATTTCTAAAATAGGTTGGTATGGATTAATAACACTATTAACAAAATCAATAAACTGCTGTATTTAGATCATAAAAGTCATGCCGAAGCCAGTTTGGCTTAATGTTCATTGGTACGAGATGCAAGAAAGAAAAAAATAGTTTTTTTCTTGATTTTAACAGTTTTCAGTCAGAATGTTTTATATCAGAACTGAAATATGAGGTTAGAATTATGCATATGTTTTGTTTACTTTATAATGTCTTACATTGTTTAATATAGACCACTAAACCAAAGGTTTCAACCAAAGGTAGATGACAGAAAGTAAATTAAAAACAAAATCTGATTTGATAAGAAACACAGGGAAACATCCATAACAAAACCGATTGTTTAGGAAATCAATTGCTGTGTAGTAGTTGTATAGCGAAAAATGTAACTGACTCCAAGACCATTATTGAAAAAAAAGCCACATGAAACTGAATACATTTGTAATTGTACAGATATGAATGTTGTAGAAAATACAATTAACATCAAAGCATCTGACTGGTCATTTTTCATCCTGATATCTCCATTTTTTTATAAGGATGGCGTTCAAATCACTGACAGTGGAAAGTTCCATGTTAGCTCTGAAGGCCTACTAACCATCCGAGATGTTGGTCAGGCAGACAGAGGCAGATATGAGTGTGTGGCACGAAACGCCATTGGCCAATCTACCTCTAGTATGGTGCTGAGTGTTGTAGGTAAGGCATTTTTTAAAATGTTTTTACTTTGGGAAGTACAGTTATTCTGTTCTTTTCATTCAATAGTTTTCTATTTTTACAGAAACACAATTGTATTACTATATTCTACTGAAAAGTTATCTTGTTTAAGCTAACAGCTAATCCTGATCCCATCTGTATTTCGTAGTATAAATAGTAGTGTATTGGCATTACGGATATTTTATGGATATACTGTATAGAAAGGAATAATAATCTGTATGTGAATGACTAGAAACACCTTGCAATGAATCATTTACATTTGTTTTGTAAATGTGTTCTATAAATCTCCGTAGCTCTATATACTGGCTTCTCATGAGTACATAGGCTGCTGTGATAATTCATTTTAAGATTCTGATCAGTATGAATGGCTAAACAACAAGATTGGTTTCTTCACAATGAGGTTTCATACTAGTGCATTGTACATGTTCCAACCCTTGATTTGATTTCTAAGCTTTTAACTATGTATCTTTTTATTCTGAAATTTTCTTTCTGTGTTTTGTCTTTTTTTATATATTTGCTTTTGTTAGGTGTCTCTGTCAGTAATGATAGTGATGTTACCCTTGTTTGGTATTGTTCGCCTAATGGTTTGACTTTTATCAGAATTTTATCAGAAGAGTGCAAATTCTTGATTATTCCATGTGTTGACCTTGCTATTTATCAGTGTTTTAGGCAGTCCTTTCTAGCAAACTATTGTGGATCACTGGATAGATTGTGGATGAAATTGTCTATTATTGCAGTTATGGTTACAGTATAATAGATACCATAGTTAAACATATGTATTCAAAATGATTTCTTGTTAAATAACATATTGCTTTATAATGTTTTAGAAATCCTGTTATTTTTTCTTCCCTGTGGTTGCTTGAAGTGTTCTATTTTATTTGAATGTGTTGTCACTGCTAAGACTTAACACTTTCAGCAGTTAGATAGTATTGACTGCTGTGTTAATTTCTGTTGTGTGGAAATTTTTCAACAAGCTGTAATATCACATTGTAATAAGATGGGTCATATTATTTAAAGCATATCTAATGTAAAATTGTTCATTGAATGGTAATATCACACAGAAGTGCAGAAATGCTGTAATTAAAAAAAAGCCTTGCTACTTATAAAGTGTGGCATTGCTTTTTGCTGTTAATTTTTTTGCTTTGATCTGTCTGAAGCCAGCCTTATTTTTAGCTTTTTACAGAACTTCATTGTCACCTTGTGTATCCTTGCAGTTCCAGAGGGAAGACGTGCAGGAGACAGTTTTGTTGAACCGTCAATTCATGATGCAACTCAAAGGGTTGACAGTGCAATCAATTCAACACGTAGAGATTTATTTGACAAGTAAGAAATAATGATTGATTCTTCAAGGACTGATGACAATAACTATAATAACTAATGTAGGTATAGTTTATTACAATGTGGAACTGTGGTAGCTCAGATGGCAAGGGTGTCTAGCTCCTGACCAGAAGGTCTCAGGTTCAATCCCACTCAGCCAGCTTTCCAAATGAGTACCAGGGGTTAATCCTTCTAGGGGTAATAGACCAGCTGGAGTGCAATGCTGACCACATCACCTCCACCTCCAGTGTTGGATGGTCAAGAAAAATGGTGGCCCTTGTCCCCCATTCCCCCATGGGCCTTTATGGCCTGAAAAGGGACCTACCTTATTACAAGGTATTGAGTATTTATAACCATGTAGTGATATCAATATTTTTTCATTAACCTTGATTTAATTTTTATATCTCTGTAAAAATCTCTACAGAGCCTATGTTTGTCTTTTTGTCCCTCTGTCTCAAATGCAGGCGACCTCGCACACCAAATGACTTACTGGCTCTGTTCCGCTACCCAAGAGACCCTTTTACCATTGAGACTGCTAGGGCCGGAGAAATATTTGAACAAACACTGCATCTTATTCAAGAACATGTACAGCAGGGGCTAACTGTTGACCTCAATGGCATTGGTAGATTTATGTGCATTATTTTAATTAATTTAATTTCATTTATCTTAAAGACATACTGACTCATTGTACATAAACCAAACTATTGACTTGTTGTGTCTGTGGCAGCTCTAGTTTTCTTAATTTAAGTTACAGGAATTTAATTTAATATAATTTAACAACTTTTTTATTTGTCTAATTGTGATTTTATTTTAATAATTATATTTCTGTTTGTACTGTTGTGCTTCAGAATCTGTTTTAATATAACAAAGAGTCAAGGCTCATTCACCACTGCATGCTTATTTTCTTTTACATTTGTATCAGTATGAAACCATCTTCTTTGTTGGTATTGTAGAGTTCCGCTACAATGACCTGGTTTCACCACATTACCTGGACCTCATTGCCAACCTGTCTGGCTGCACTGCTCATAGACGCTTCCCAAACTGTTCTGACATCTGCTTCCACCAAAAGTACAGAACTCACGATGGTACCTGTAACAACCTTCAGCATCCCATGTGGGGTGCATCCTTAACTGCTTTTGAGAGAATACTTAAGCCAGTATATGAGAATGGTTTTAGTGTACCCAGAGGAGTTGGGCATGATGCAAAATATAATGACTACCCATTACCGATGCCCAGACAAATCTCCACTGCCATGGTTGGCACTGAGACAGTAACTGCTGATGACCGCTTCACACACATGCTCATGCAGTGGGGACAGTTTTTGGATCATGATCTGGACCAGACTGTAGCAGCCCTCAGTATGTCACGGTTTTCAGATGGTAAACCCTGCAGCTCTGTGTGCACTAATGACCCCCCCTGTTTTCCCATCATGATACCTGAAAATGATCCCCGTGTGAAGAATGCAAGGTGCATGTTTTTTGTGCGTTCAAGTCCAGTCTGTGGTAGTGGAATGACTTCAGTCCTTATGAACTCTGTCTATGCCAGGGAGCAGATTAATCACTTGACCTCCTATATTGATGCATCCAATGTGTATGGGAATAGTGACCATGAATCTGCTGAGCTCCAGGACCTCTCCAGCCAGCACGGACTCCTGCAGAAAGGTAGTGAGTGGGGAAATTCTGGAAAGCACCTTTTGCCCTTTGCCAGAGGACCACCCACTGAATGCATGCGGGATGTGAATGAAAGTCCTATTCCGTGCTTCCTGGCTGGGGACCACCGTGCTAATGAGCAGTTGGGCTTGACTGCCATGCATACCTTGTGGTTCAGAGAACACAACCGCATTGCGGAGGAACTGTTGAAGCTCAATCCTCATTGGGATGGAGATACAGTGTATCATGAAGCCAGAAAGATTGTAGGTGCTGAAATGCAACACATCACATATCGGGAGTGGCTACCCAAAATCCTGGGGGAGGTGGGTATGAAGCTGTTGGGGGATTACAAGGCTTACAATCCAAACATCAATGGAGGCATTCTTAATGCGTTTGCTACTGCTGCTTTCAGATTTGGCCACACCTTGGTTAACCCAATCCTGTACCGCTTGAATGAATCCTTTGGGGAAATCCAAGAAGGTCACATTCCTCTCCACAAGGCCTTCTTTTCTCCCCATCGGATTGTTCAGGAAGGAGGCATAGATCCCATTCTCCGTGGCCTCTTTGGGGTGGCTGGCAAAATGCGGGTTCCTTCTCAGCTTTTAAACATGGAGTTGACTGAGAGACTTTTCTCCATGGCTCACTCAGTGGCCTTGGACTTGGCTGCTATGAACATTCAAAGGGGCCGTGACCATGGCATTCCACCCTACAAGGACTACAGGGTGTTCTGTAATCTGACTTCAGTGAAAGGTTTTGATGATCTAAAGAATGAAATCCGTAACCCTGAAATCAGAGAAAAATTGAAAAGGTAAGTAAAAACAATATTATTCTAAATATTAAGAAATGCTTAGGTTTTGCTGTTTGTCATTTCTACTGTCATAGATGTTGTATTCTCAATACAATCAGTGATACTAGACTACAACTCACGTTATATACTATGAAATAAATATAAAGTACAATTTTAAAGGTTTTTCCTCCAGTGCAAAACTTGTTCATTTCTTCAATCATGTTGCATTAAATGATCATTTTCATTTAATTATCTTCCCTTCTTAGACATAGAACTATTCTTTTTGTATTCTTTTGTATGCTCTACACCTCTGATTTTAACAGTGCCTGCTGTATAAACAAATACATGGTGATTTTAGGTTCAAAACCATGTGTCTGTAACACTACCAGACAAAAATAAAATTTAAGGTTGCATTGACATCATTGATCTAACGTGGATGATAAAAAAGCATTTTTTGAGCTCCCGTGAACCCCCACAGACTGAATCATTTGTGAATTTTTAGCCGTAATTCAAGGATAACCAGAGATAAGTGCCTGTTGCAATTTGTCAGAGTGCTGAAATGAAACACTGATAAAATTCAGCAATAACTTCATGCTGTAATGTCTAGAATGGCTATTGAGCAGCTACTGTTTACAGTGTTCATATAGTCTTAGATCACATTTATACCAACATAACCTACATTTGTCATAATTTAGATAGGGTACTTCCATACTTCCAAGCAAATACCCCAGATAGGGTTCATATTCTTTTCTATAAAAGCCTATACAAATTACTAAAATTTACACTTTATCTTTCAGTTGCCTAGCTCTCTAAATACCCACAAAATGACCATTTCTTATGGCTTTTCCTCTGGTGAAATGTAAGTTCCATTGGAAAGTTTACACATTAGCTCACTGTAATTATGCATGTATTGGCACTTTCTGTTTGAGTTCTACAGTGTATTACCTATAACAGACATGCATTCACCTCAGACTTTTCCATTTTTGCACATGCTTTGATTTAAATCTCAATGATGGAAGAGGCACATATCTAACATTCCTTTGTATCCCTTAAGTGTAATTTCTTTTTCCAATGCCATTTACATGCCCATGATCCCATCTGTGAAAAAGGTTATTCATTTTGATGGTTACAGAGAGGTAGGACATAATTGCAAAACCTTTATCACGATTAACGGGCTGGGGTATTTTACCCAAAATATAATGGAAAAGTAGGGAAAACAATGACATGACAAAAAAAACCATAAGTAAAAACAATTTTGAAATATGGAGATTTAAGAGTAAAAAGGGGGGAATTCAAAGATGAAACCCCCTTTTTACTGTATTTACAATCACTTATAACCAAATGCCAGCATGGAGAAAACACATTCAAAAATGGTCAATATAATTTTAGTCACAGTTGGGGGTGGTACAGAGCACTGAAATAGGACTATAAATTCTGACACCACCGAAATATCCTTTCCCTGAGTAATACCTACAGGCTTGTATTATTATTAGATATTCAATATTTATTTTAATCTTTGTTTTCTCATTCCATTTAATTAACATTTGTAAACTTTTGGGTCCAGTTGTTTTAACAGAAAACCATAGTTTAAAACATTCTTTCTTAATTCCTGTCATACGTGTCACTTGATTTTATTGCTTTTTCCAGCCGTCATCTGTAATAAAGTGAAACTGTGGTATAGTATAAATAATTTTTGTTTAAAAAAATCAAGAGGGTCAAACATTGACATATATATATATATAACTTGGCTTTTGTAGGTTGTATGGAACACCTCTAAACATTGACCTTTGGCCTGCATTAATTGTGGAAGATTTGATTCCTGGAACTAGAGTGGGTCCAACTCTTCTGTGCCTGTTTGTTACACAGTTTCAGAGACTCAGAGATGGAGACAGGTAACACAGTGTCCTAATTAAATATTATTAAGCATATAAACAATGCAAAATATTCTAAAATAACAATGTTTGCCTTCTTTGCAAATATGAAAACATAAAATTTTAAATTTGGAGAGATATAGTAGTTTAATGAAGTTAAATGAAGACAAATGTTTGCATAATCACTCGATTATTTCTAATTTGACTAAATCCCATGCACCCAGCAGCTTTCTTTTGATATGGAGATAACAGTGGCCATTGCTGGTAGAACGTGACCCTATAACACAATCTAGACACATTGGTTACAACACATTAAATACATATATAAAGTTGTCATTTGGAACATCAATTTTTTTGGAAATGCAGAGTCACAAAAACAACAGGGTCACAGGATTCAAGAGGAAATCAAGAGATTTCAGCACAATGATATCTCAATCTATTCAGTACTTCCCAACAGTTTTTTTTGTAGTGAAACCACTGTACATAGTCATTGGGCAGAAGTATTACACTATTATACTATCCAAAATTCTGAGGATATAAAAAAAAACATGATGGCATTGGACTATACAGGAGGACTATACACTATACTATTTTAGAGTCTGCTGATATTTACAACAAAGTATTTCAAAACAGCCTTCTCAAACTGCTAACATTCAGTGACTGCTTACTATCACTCTGAAAGCCCTTTCTGTATCCGAATATTCCATCCATCACACCCAAGTGAAAATGTGACCAGTCAACACATCATTACCACTAATGTAATTAAAACATTAATGACTACCATTCATCTATTTACAAATAAACCTAGGCTTTTTTGCTGCTCTAGTGGCAAGGCCCTTAACTCCTACTGCTCCAGGGGTGCTGTACAATGGCTGACCCTGCGCTCTGACCTCAAGCTTCTCTCCCTGTCTGTGAGTCTCATGGAGAGCAAGTTGGGGTATGCAAAAAGACAAATTATATATGGCTAATAAAGTGATCTTATCTTATCTTAAAAGTCCTCTCAAAGACCAGTCTGTCACAACTACAGTACATATAATCATATTTTGGTGTATTAGAGTTTTTTAACACTCTAAAGCATGGTAGCTGTGCAGCTTGATCTGGGAGTCAGCTTAATAGAAGGTGGCTTACGGACATTCCTGACAGAGGAAAAATAAGTGTTTTAGCACAAGGCTATAAGAGGAATCGAATGCAGCTGGTTTTCAGAAGGTTCTTCTATAAATGTGTTAAGTTCACAGGAGTCATTATCTTATCTTTTAGTGAGATCAGGCAGATATATTCTCATTGCAAAACAGTTTCTGGTTAGGTTGGTTTTGAGAGAGCACACAAAACCAACTGATAATGTTCAGTGCCCACCCTTTGACTCTGGTTCAGAAACAAGGTTACAGAAAAGGTTTAGTTACCACCACATGCTTCACTCTCCAGGGTACCAGTGTCTGAAGACAGAAGTAAGAGCTCTCTGGTGGATTGAGTCATATCAGCCAGTAGTTCAGGCCGAAGGAGCCATGTAAAGTTAAGAGAAACAGGGAAAATGGGAAGGCCAGTAATGTACAGAGTCTGCAGAGGCTGCATACAGTAGGTCATTAGATAAGGTTAGATCCAGATCCAGGTTAGATTTGGTTATATGTTTCGCCACAGTTAAGGGGATTAATGTGCGTTGGTCCTCTGACGCCAAGCTACTGCTTGGGAAGAATCTGGCACAAGCACATTTACAGTATGTGCTTTAATTGGTTTGACTATAAAATATTGTTATGCCCATTGAAACATGGCTTTACTATATTGCACAGCTTTTTATTCATTTTTATTTGAAGGATTAATGCTAATTATTTGCTGAATTATAACATTTCCTTTAAAAAGTAAAGTATTGTCGTTCCATGAGCTAAACAACAAAAATTTGTATCCATGTACATGGTAAAACATACATTTGTTTAAAGTATACAGTCTCGTGTTTCACCATAATACTGTTCTGACACTTTTCTAGGTTCTGGTATGAAAACCCAGGAGTGTTTAGCCCATCTCAAGTCACACAGCTGCAGCAGGTGTCTTTGGCTCGTGTCCTATGTGACAATGGAGATAATATTAAAGAGGTTCAGTCTGATGTCTTTTTGAAAGCAGATTATCCCCAAGAATATAAAAGCTGTGAAGAGATACCTAAAATCGATCTGAGAATGTGGCAAGATTGTTGTGAAGGTAAGTGATAGCAGTATGTAGCAAAGCCAATTTCGTTCAATGTACTGCAGAGTCACATTTTGGATAGAATAAACGTCTATTGAGCTTCTTTGTGCTTTTGTTACAGTACTTTTTTCTATTCCAGAAGCTAGCTGTAGATACAATATTGTACTGTATGTATCAGGCAATAGATTGGGAAGACAATTGGAAAAATAATGTCTGAAAGGTTAATAACTCGTTAATTAAAGGTTAGTTAATTACTCCACTTATGAATTTGTCTATAACAAAATATAAATATGAAATTTGTTGGGCTTTGCAAAGAAACTGACAGAAGGAACGGACTTTTAGTCGTTTTTATATTGAGCAATAATAAAATAATAATTTTATAGAGCGCCTTTAGAAACAACTTCTTTACAGAAAAGTAAATAAAAATTATTTGTTACAGTGAATAGCTGTTAAATAGGTAGGATTGCTTTAAGACTGTAAATGGAAGACTAAATAAAAGTTTCTGTTTATTAAAATTGTGTTTTCTGCATCTGCTTTTGGGCCCCAGAGTGGCTCAACCCAGACACAAAACTGTACAGTACTTAAACATTATACTAGTATTTAATTTTGAGAAAACCAAATATGCTTAGGCATATTATGAATAAGGTTTTATACACTATTATTAAGAAATGATAGTTACTATATTTATATCCACTAGTGCAAAAAACAAACCACAACAGTTTAATCACAATTATTTACAAAAGCTATGTTATGTTATTTTTTGCTATTATTTAAAAAATAAGTGAGTAATTATGTAAGTTTGCTCAGTCTATCACGGATGTAGTACGTTATTTAATGCTATGGTAATTACAACTGACTATATTTAAATAAGGAACAAGTAATAGGTTTATTCCATGCTGAAAAAAAGAAGAAAGAGAACACAACGTTTCGGCCGTGGAGCCTTCTTCAGGTGTGAGAGAGACAGGGCAGTAGGCAAAGGTAAAGTAGCGGGAGAACAAAGGTTGGGAGGGAGGAGGAGTGAGAGGCGGGAGCAGGGGACAGAAAGAGAGGCCAATCAAGAGGTGTGAAGTCAGAATGGCTGCAGAGAGGTGTGAAATGAAACTTCCAATGAATGGAGAAAATTTAAAAGAACGGTAGTCTGTCGTTAAGAGAAGGGAGAATGTGTGATCCTAGCTGCAGAATAATTTTAGTTTCGGTGGTCTTTCTGATGTATGAGTTCGGAAAACCGTCTTTGAGAATACAGGCGGAGAGATTGGAGTGGTCGTGGCCGTCAGAGGTGAAATGAGAAACAATGGGCTTGGAGAGATCTTTAATCTTCACAGCCCTGACGTGTTCTCTGAAGCGGTCTCCGAGTCTCCTTCCTGTTTCTCCAATGTAGATGGCTGGGCATTTACTGCAAGAGATACAGTAAATAAGGTTGCTGGAGGTACAAGATGCTGTCTGGGTGATCCGGAATTGTCCTGAGGGGCCTTGAATGAGAGTGGTGGTGGCTGTGTACTTGCAGGTGATACAGCGAGCTCTGTTGCAAAGGAAAGTGCCTGGTGTGGATGGTTGTTGAGGGCGGTCAAGGGAGCTGTGAACAATGTATTTAAATTATATTATTTAAATTTTATATTTAAATAATAAAACATTGTGAGCCAGTGAACACTGAACCATTTGGCCATTGTATTAAATATGGTCCCATAAATAAACAAGAAAAGAAAGCAAAAAACAAAATTATTTCAATATTTTTTTTTATTTATTAAAAAAAAGCCAGCAGCCAAGTCACTAAGCAAAGCAAGCAAGTGTGAGCCTGGTCAGTACCTGGATTGGAGACCTCCTGGGAAAAACTAAGGTTTCTGCTGGAAGAGGTGTAAGTGGCCAGCAGGAGGTGCTCACCCTGCAGTCTGTGTGGGTCCTAATGCCCCAGTATAGTGACGGGGACACTATATTGTAAAAAGGTCCCGTTCTTCGGATGAGATGTAAAACCGAGGTTCTGACACTCTGTGGTCATTAAAAATCCCTGGGCATTTCTCAAAAAGAGTAGGGATACTGTATAACCCTGGCATCCTGGCCAAATTTCCCATTGGCCTTTACCAATCAATTGAGTGGAGTGTCCAGAAAAGCGTGATACTGTATATGTGTAAGGAATTATTATTATTTAATAATTTCAACTATTAGTTCAATTAAAAATCTTAGCTTCATAAAAACTCTTAACAGCATGTTAAAGAACTATATAGATGTCTAAAAACAGAAACAGTTTCACAAGCAGATAATCAAACAATTTCTATTTCACAGCCAATTAAATGTACTGTAGCTAAGCAACAGTTGCCTTTGGTCATGTTTACTATTGCTGAGAATTTGATTTCAAATTCTCCTTTTACATACTGTATTAGAAAGCTATAAAGTATCACCGAACCTGTGAAATAGCTCCTTTTGAACAGCCTATCAGTCACAGGTAGGCATTTTTTAATTAATGAATTTACATTGAATACAAAAACACACATACAGTAGGCCTTTTCAGGATCCTCCACAACAGCAAAAGAAATCACTCAAAAATACCACCTCACCATTAGCACTGTGCTCACCCTATAAATACCAAATAGCCAACTTGTACCCATGTGAGAATGTGAATTTTTAAATCCTTTACCAGTTATACCATGATTAAGTAAATGACCCCTAGTGTGATTATTTAAATGTAACTAGAGGCCATAGAATGGCTTCGAGTAGCAGGTCAGCTGTTGAAGCCCCTTCTTAAGTCGGTTTGCCACAGATTTTAATTGATGCTGTCACCCGTCACAGTCAACAACTTTAAAAAGTGAAACATGGAGATGATGCTTATTTGCACAACATTATGTAACAAGGTTAAAAAAATGACAATTTTATGGGGAAATAAACCTTTACAGTGACATAATTATCATCAAAAGGCAAAAGAATTCAGTAGATCAGACCAATAGCTTTTGGCTACTGGTTGAGTATGAGCACAACAGGCCCATATACAAGTATGTCACTACCTACTCTATTATAGATACACATACTGCATATATTATGTATAATTGTTTCTTTTTTCAGGTTGTAGAACACAAAGGCAATTCAGTGCTTTATCTAAACACTTTCACAGCAGACGCTCTGCAGACGTAAGCTATCCTGAAGAAAGACAATCCAATTATGTTTGGGAAATAAAAAATAAAAAAAGGTATGAGTTTGAATGATTTCATTAAAAAAAGTATATACTTTGTTGTGTAAGTATTTTTTATTCGTTTTAATTCCAGTTTACATAAGGCATTAAAAAATATGTTATTTTCAGATTAAAAGATAACAGAGAAGAAGAAAGAAATAATTCCATCGAATACATAGAGGACAAAAAAGGATTTTCAGACCAAGATTTCAACAGCTTTTTGACAGAAGTGCAACAAACAATTTCATCATTAAGGGATCAGGTAATGTAAAGACCGTTAAAGAATATCAAATGTAAGGACCTTTATTTCATTTTTACATCTACTTTGATTGCTCAGGGTAATTAAGCTGCACTTCAAGACATGCGTATGATTTAAATGTTTATGATTATGATCTCATGTCTTTTAGATTTTAGAATGCTTTCACATTGGCCTCTATTTAATTTGAGTAGCTGGATTTTGTTTTAACTTAACCAGTAAAGGATTTTACTTAGAGTGCACTTTAGGACTTTTGTCCAGAGATACCTTCAGATTGACATGTGGTTAAAAAATACTGGCCATGTGCCTTCAGTAGTTTCCCCTTAACTCAGCACCAAAAAGCTATTATTCCTTTTTCCAACATTCCACCAGCTTTCAGTGTGAAAAACAGTACAATCAGAGAAAATGTGTTAAGTGTATGTTCATTTTTACAAGTTTCAGAATATAATGTATTTTGCAACTTTCATACTTGAACATAAAAGTTAAAACTCGAGAAGTATTGCTGACTGAATAAGAGCTGGGCGTATTATTTATACAAATTTGTAATATACTTAAAAGCATGCTTAACATGATGTAAATAGCAATTACTATGTTAATGAGTACATTACAATAAAAAGAAAAATATGTAATGATAATAGCGTATTTATTTTTTATTTTAACATTTAAACTGTTATTGTAATTCTGTTATAAGAAGTATTTTTTTAACACAAGCAATATATTGGAAAGAAATGCATTTTGTTGCACTTTATGTTGCCCCCAATATAGACTTTTAACTTCATGGATATGATTTTAGATTTGTGGAGGCAGCATTATTTAGTTTAACATTTTATGCATGTATCTGATGGCATTTACCATTCATGACAGGGTTTAATGTAGTTTTCAAGGGTCAGAAAATCATAAATAACCAAAGAACATTTATTGCTGACCAACGCTTGTTTATGGCTAGGAAACTGAGAAGCATTGCTCATTTAACAGTGTGAATTGGTTTGACTTTTTAAAGCTAAGAAATTTAGCTTTAAAAGCTAAGAGACCACAGAAGGCCTCAAAACCAAGAAAATAGAATTGTGTGCAAGATCAATACAATACTAATTTAAACTATTTTTATTTAGTATTGCTCTGCTACGTAATAGAGATTTGCAAAAAAGTGTTAGGACTACACTTGAAATGCAATCTGAAAATCATGAGAGGGATCTTATACAGTAGGTGTGATTTACAATAATGTGCCTAATATTTTAACAGACAATATTCTTCCTTTTCCATTCATTGATTCATTTCCATGTCTTCCTTCAACTTTTAGTTTATTATAAAGCAACATACAGTATAGACCTCAATCTTCACTTGAGTTAAAACAACACATTCATATATATTTACACAGGAGGAAAATATCCCAGTATAAATTGAATTGTAAATAATCTTTAGTAAAAATACATAAATGGAAAATTTATTGACATATAACAGTTAGCTGGTAAAAGTGTAAAAAATGTAAACAGGAAACTTCACATACAGTATCTAGTTAATTGTTTTTTATTTTAAAGAAAAGTCTGGATGAGATTCCCTGATCAATTAGCTTGTAGCAGCTAAACAGGAAAGGTGAGCCAAAAGCTCATCTCTCACTTTTAACCTTTTATCTTTTATGTCTTACAGTATATCCCTAAATGTAACTTAGAACATTTTTGTTGCTTATATTTTATTATAATATTACTGTATTTCATTACAATATTTCATTTTGAGCTTTCTGAAATGTGTTTAAAAGGTTTAGTACAGTGTTTGGAGTTCATAAAAGCAGAATACACTGTACTACTATCTTCAATACACATTCATTTTCACAAAATTTTAAAAAAGGCTGTTTGCTCACTTACTTTCCCGTGAGTGAACTTTCCTTAGAATCGGGACGCTTTTTTTTTGAAGATATGAAGAAAAAAAGTTAGTTCAAGTGCAAGTAAAACACCAGAAGCGAGAAAATGATCTAGGCTTGTGAACAAGACCTCATTTCTTCAAAGGCTACATGTTGCAAAATGACTTGCAAGCCTATTTGTGTGTTTTTTTTTATCATGTATTTTATAGACTCACTTATATTCTGTAGAAATTTATGGACAAGTTTGTTTAAAACTAGAGAACCTGAAATGCCAACCTCCTTTTAAATAAAATTATAAAATACCACATTAATTGATCGATGTCTAATCCAGCAACCTTTATTCTCATAAACAGATAAATAATCTGGAGACTCTCCTGAGGAAGAAAAGTTGCATGGATGAAAATGGTAACCACAGGATAGAAGGAGAACGCTGGGACAAAGATCCGTGCACAAGCTGTCAGTGCCAGGTAACTTGCCCTGAAAATTCTTTCATACTGTAAATCTCTTTCGCCTTTTTTGAGAGCAATTGACTGATTTTCAGTTGATTGACTGAGCAATTGATTTTTCCTTTTCTATTTTCCCTTTCAGAAAGAACAAATTACTTGCTTTGTAGAATCCTGTCCTGCAGCAGACTGCAAGAAACTCATCAAAGTGAAAGGAAGATGCTGCCCTGTTTGTTCAGTGGTTAAAAATAGCAAAGGAGCCTCTACAAGCAGTTCATAAACCCAAGTCAAAAGCAAGAGGTTTCAGAGCATTTCATATAATCTACTGACACAAAAACATGTTAAGTGCTAGTATGAGCTAGGTCAACCTCACATGGTAATAAACTAGAGAGAGAGAAACCTTTCCAGCACTATATAGTTTATTTTTACCATTACTAATAAATTGCATAAAATCTGTTCAAACAAAGAATTAACCTTTGCGTTCGGAATTTGCCACTCTTTTTAATTTGACAAGTTAACTATATGCCTTGTACATCATCTTCAGTTCTAAAAAACATGAATATTGCTGGCCAATATGGATATCACACTTTGAACCAAGACACATTTTTAATTTTTCAGTTTTAAATAACTGAACGTTACTTAAAAAAAGTGCTGTAGCAGTCATAGCCCATCCTAAATATAATTTGCATAAATAGATCTTAAAAGTCACTGACTCAGTGCAGATTAAAACAATGAATACATACTGTGCTGTACAGATACTGACACTGGCTATCAAATTTAAACACCAAATATATAATTTATTTGGTATATTATGACATACTAAATATATAATAGGTATATTTCTGGCATCTTTACTGCAAACATTAAATATGTCATTAAATATGTTCAATTTTTAGAGAAACTATATATACTATATATATAACTGTATATTTACTCTAGGTTGTCTGTCCCACAATATATTTCAGTTAACTTAAAATATTTTAAAGGTGTTAAAGTTTACACTTCATTTTGCAAACTATTAACTCATTACTCTTTTGTAGTGCAATAGTTAGTACTAAATAACTGTATTATGTTCTCTTACTTGGATTGATGGTAGAGTATTCAGCTTTATTTATACTATTTACTGTCTTTCAAAAGAACTGGGCAACTCAGTTGCTGGCTTGGTCCAATGGTCTCAGTTTATAATAAGAGTGAAGATAGAATTCTGAGGATAAGATCTGAGGAAAAGCATCATTGCAATCGTCCTACAGTATATACAGTGGCTAATGTAATAGACATTATCAATGACTATTGATGGATGTGATTAACAAAGATGAAAGTTAATAATTATAACACAAACACAAAAGAACAGTATTATTTAATTCAGAGATGCTTGTATGTTCTGAAGTGTTAAATAAGTCAAGATGTTTTGAAAACCATGATGTTTGCCTTTAAAACATGGCAGTCATTCATACTGTAATGACATCTGGTGAAATTGATCATCTGTGCTATTACCCTCTGCAGCTGTGCTGTTTGTTTTCTTGAATGTCAGAGAGAAAAAATAGATGGTTAGAATTATAGCAGAAATACAAAGCTATGTTTAAAAAGTTAAAATCATTTAATTTTCATCCATTATTTCTCAGCACAATACTATTTAGATGTAAGACCGTTATTATGCGAGAAAAAGTATCACAATATTTTAGTTAGCTCTGTATGAAAACATTCATCTTACATGTAATTGTATTTATTATAGAAAGTTGATTATTTACAGTCCTTGTAAGACATATATACAGTATATACATATCAAGTATATGAATGCCCAAACTTGCCATTTTCCTTGATAAAATGTTAAATGAATATTTAAAATATGCTCATTATACAAAACAGAAATCTAAATGGATTTTCAGAAAACATGATTTGTTGGGATTTCTTAACACCTAATTCTAATTTTACTTTAAAAATTCATTATATTTAAATATACAAATTATAAGTAATATCTCTAAGTAGAATATTTTAAACGAAGTGCCTAGCTACATACAGTACAGTATGAGCAATACTTTTTGGTCCGACTTCATGTTGTTAAAATGTGATTTTATTTGGGAATGGTGACATTTTCAACAGATTTTCAACATAGAAATAAGCAACATTATATAAATCTCTTTCTGTCTCAAAGTGTGACATTTGATATATTGCACACTCACTTTAAGCACACTGTTTTTGACAGTGCCTTGAATTCAACAGTGGTTAAACAGTATGAATAAATCAACATTCTGATATTACTGTATGTCACTGCTTTGATTCAAAAATTTAAAATTCTTTAACATGAAAATAGAGATCTTGGGGGATGGTATTTATAATGATTTCTGGTCTTTTTTGGTAGACAAAACAGTAAGGAACATACTATAGTTAAGTAGCTTTCTGTTATTAGCTACCATACCTCATAAATCCACAAAGACAGGGAAAAGCTGTGGGAATGGTGCTATGTTTTACACCTTGAGAGAAATCAATATTAAGCCTAATTCATTTAATTTATATACATGAATATATACAATTATATAAAATTAAGATTAATGTACAGTCTCTGTGTTGGTTTTTTAACTCATTCTTATTTTCCTCTGTATTGGTTTATTTTTGTCATTTTCATTTAATATTTTAATACTGCAGGGTTTTTCCAAAAGTATTTTCTACTGGAATCTTTATAAATTAAATTTGTAGAATGCAACTTGAAATAACAGAGTAGAGTGAAGTTTTTTGGAACTGTATGCAGATAAACATCTTTACATTTTCATGTTTTAGAGCACAGAACTAAGTGCAAAAGCAATACTGAAACTGCACTGCACCACATTGGAAACATTTATATAGTATAAAGTTGTGTTTGGGTTGTGCTATGTACAGTATAAGCATTTACAGTATGTAATGTATAATGTAGATATGGTAATGATAAAAGTTTTCTTTAAGAAGTTGTGTGCTTTTTTAATTTAACACTACTTAAAGCCTGTCTCTAAGAAGCTGAAGCTTATCTTTCAAGATATGAATGTGCAATACCACACTTGCTGCTGATCTTCATACTGAGCAACTGGCAAATACCACTTAGGATGACCACAAGGTGAGTTAATTGCCTCTGCTTTATTAGTCCAGCAATAAACAAAGCCCTACCCCATACTCTCTCTCACACAGTTGCTCACCACCAGACCAGACAAGAGACCACTGGAGTTACAAGGCTGTACCAGGTAAGAACTAGGATGTGAAACCTCCAGGCAGAATTAGGTTGGTGTTCAATTGGGATTGTTGGACTAGTAGTTGGAATTCTTCTCTCTGGCTGAGAATTTTCAATGCCCCATAATGGGGACAGAAGATACCATGCTGTAGGAGGTCCACTGGATAGGACATTAGAAAGACAAATAGGCTAAACACACCTAAAAATATTAAGGAATAGCGGATTTAGTATTTAGTATTTAGTATTTAGTATTTACTTTGGAATTAACTTGACGGGCAGAGGAAATGATGGTCAGCTGAAAGTCAGGTCAAAGATGTCAGAAGCCCGAGAAACAGACCAGGGTGCTTTTGGGCTACAGCTGCGAATGTTAAAAGCAATACAAGGAGAGTTGCGGACAGCCAGTGAGGATTTATACATACGAGAGCACAAGTACGAGATTAGAATTCAACCTTCTCCCAAACCTCTGTAAAATACCATTTTCCTTGTAAAAGGAATTTCTTACTTCTTCACCCATTCTGCTGTGTAGAGGATCTGCTGGTGTACTATGGCTGCTGTTGCCACCCAGCTGGTGTAGCACTGCTGGAGGAAAAGGGTCACCCCCTGCATGTAAAGTGCTGAAGTGCTTTGCAATACTTTGAAAAGAAAAATGTTGTATGAATGCAATTATTTTTTATATCAGATTATTAATTAGATTATATTAGATTAGAATACATTTTCTGGTGTTCCATAACATTAAAAAAATGCCTAATCATGTAAACAGCACATACAGTAGTACACTTCTTGTACTACAGTATGTGTTGTTACTTTAATTACCTAATTTTAAAAGGTTATTTTGGGGAATGTTGGCATCTATAAGGCAAAATAGCTTTATATTGTGTCTTAAATTATACTTAAGTCAGCAGAGAAAATATGCTGCCTTCGTTTTGGCAATTTGTTCTCTTGAAAGCTATATGCTATTATTTGTTATTAGAAACAAACATAATGGTACCATAGCAAAGTGTCCCTGCAATTTGAATTGAGGACAATAATCCAGCGAGCAGGAGTAACATTGTAACATTGTAAATATTTACATTGTACATTATTTGAGTGCAATATGAGCTGTACATGGGGTCGTATTTATGGGGAAATTAGGCACCCATCTGACCCCATGTATTTAATATCACTTTTTGTCTCATGATGCTAGTAGACCAGGGTAAGTTCAGCCTGAGCTCAGTGAAGGTGAGTTTAACACAACACAATAAAGCCATGTTCACCATGAACCTTGTATTAATCTATTTGTCATGTGGTTGAATGAATGAAGGTCCCCTTCAGTCACAGATCTTCTGTAGATCAATGTTTCTTATGTCATGACACCCATTAGAAACCTGCAATGCAGGTACTGTATCAAGATGGATCATAGTCCTGATGCCAACTTTCTCCACAAAAAGTTGGAGAAACCAGCAGTCACTTTCTACAGTATATAGTGCGGATTGTTTGTTTCTAGGGAATTGCCACAGCTACTGTAAATTACCTAGAAGCTCCATTTGACTTTTAATTATTATGTAAAATGTGAAACAAAATCTAGTAACTGTTGTACAGTAAGGTCTATAATGGCAAATTTGTACTTCTTTGAATGGGCCTATTGGCTTATTTGATGACAAAAAAAATGTAGCAGTATAATTCAATTTACTGATTTTAATACCATGTGTATTAAGCCATGGTATTGCTATTTATTGTGAAGTACTGTTAAATATGACCGGGACTCTACTTTAAGAAAGATTTTAACCAAAATTACCTAAATTTTAAAAACATTTTTAGTTTTAATAGTAATAATCTTTAAAGTATCTCTGTGTAAAAAGTTTATTAATATCTAACATGTAACATCTTTTTTCTCTCTCACATTGAAAAATCACCATCAGAAGGACAGCAGTCTTGTGGTGTAATATCAAAATCGTTATCATATGTATGGTTTTTTTAAAAGTAATGTTCACTTTATGCTAGACATTCAAGACCCACAGTTTCACATGCTATACATTAATTTGGTAGAAAATATGCTCAAAATATGCATGCAGTATATCTTGGCCAGCATATCTCTTTTTAGACACCAGATGATGCTGTTGTGTAAATATTTCCTTCATAAGTTCTAAGATGTCATTTCTACAGTATATCAGCATTACAATGGACTTGATTAACTATTAAGGCAAATATTCCAAAAGAAAATTAAATTGGAAATCTTATCAGAAAGAAAAAGAAATTGTGAAGACAGCACCCTTAGGCTAAACATTGTTCTATCATCTCAACAGGTTTCCTTTATGATATAGGTTTAATTATGTGACAGCTTGCATTATCAGGTTATGCTGGAGTATGGCAAACTCTAGACCCCCCGCAGTCCCCTTCCTTTAAGCCCTTATTGGTTATAGTTCTTTAAGTTTAATTAACGTTTTGTCCTACAAACATAATATTTTGCCTTTATATTTATTAAGTTATTCATGATGCGACAACACAGTCTTCCATAGATAGGAGTGCTTCAATAACCTTTCCACATCTAAACGCATTAAAAGAACAATATAAGATACTGTACATTAGAAGAGAAAATTTTGACTTAATATGAAACATCAAGGGAGTTGCTGTCACGTTGGTATGGTAGTTAGCCCTGCTGATTCAAAGCTTTTTAGTCCTGGGTTCAGTTCTAGCCCGGAGTTCGTACTGTATATTCTCCTCATGCTGACAAGGGGTTTCTTGAAGTGCTCTGGTTTCCCTCTCTTGCCCAAAGACAGCAATCCAGGTTAGCTGGTGTCTATGAACTCCCACGGTGGGTATGCTCTGTGATGGCCTGTTACCCTCTCAGTGTTTAGGATTAAGTGGTTACTTAAAATTTTTGGAGAGATTTTTTAAAATAAACCAAAAGAACAGAGTTTTGGTTCAACTGCTTTTTGAAATCCCCCCAAAATTATACAGTCTGATTGTTTGTAAAGGCAGTTTGGAGTTTTATATATACCTGTGAACATTTTTTTGGTGAAATCAAATGACAAATTTACATCTGTTTCATCTGCAGATAAACACTACCAGTTTATGAATAATGATATTATGAATGTTAAAAGAAGGAGTTTTTAGAATCAAATTAAACAGACATGTAAACATCTCACCTTTCAATTACAAATCAGATTCACAATTACCGCCGTTGTGAATTTTAGGATTAAATCTATTCCATGTATAATGGAATCCATTATTTGTCAAATTGGATTCTGATATTTGCTTTCTCTGTCTTCAAGAAAATATTGTAAGCAGACATTTGTTTGTTTTCTTTCCATGTATGTTATATACTGTATCATTCATGACTATAATGAATAATTTTACATTACCTGTGAGCATAATTATTTGTCATGTAATATTAAATATATGGTCTCCCAGAAAGGTCATTAAAATGATAGAACTAATTGTTTTTTCAGCATTTTGTACCTTTTTATACTAAATATACATTATAACACACAGTATATATCACATGATGATAAATCAACATTTCAAACTATTTTAGTGTAGTCACAAAAAGTAATGAAAAGATGAACATTTTTCTGAGCTATTTTTATCAAACAAAATACAAAGGGATTAGCAAATTCCCACACAAAACCACCTTACCTATCCCCTCTAAGTCCCTAAAAATTGCTCGAATGGAACACCCATGCAACAAGACCACAGCCATGTTAGTAGCAGCAGTCCCAGCACCTACCTTCCCTCACCAGCAACCTGGATCCCAGCAGTCAAAAGCTCTATAAAGAATACTAAAGGTCAGGATTCAGTGATGTCAAAAGAGGCACTAGAAGCCCCCTCCCCTGCAGACAGACCTGCCAATACTGGTCACACTGCCCTGAGAAGCCCAAACCACTGCCACCATCCAAGTAGAAGCACAAAGAGCAAACAGGGAACATCCTATCCAGATAAATGGACAAAAAAGATAAGACCAGAACCCAGCAACAGCAACAGTTTCCCCTTGGACAGGGAACACAGGGGAAACTAAGAACCAGTCTCATTTAACGCCATCCATAAAGGACCAGACACACAAATTCATAGGGGATGAAAACTGCAAATGACCTTAAATGTACAAGGTCTGAATAGATTAGATAGTTTTAAGTTTTGACAAGATTTTTTTTCTCCTGTTTCTCTTCAGTTAAAATAAAACAGGATCTCTTCACCACAGTCTAAGTTGACTTTTTTTAAAACATTGTCCTTAGCTATGACCTTCACGCACCTATAGTAGATTCTGACAAGTTGGATTTCAAGTATCTAGACACCTAGAGGTTTTTAGAGCATTCAACTAATAATGTAACATAAATGTAAAGACAGACACAAAAATATTTTTCTATCTGCATAAGTCAGATATTACACCTCCCTTCTTAAGCTGTTGCTGGAAATGTTGGCACAGTGTTGCATACATTTTATAAATAAAAACTCAAGGTCTTTCTCAGAATTATCATCCTATAATTGATCATTTTCTATGCATCTATTTCCCTGTCCCTGTCTTGAAGGATGGAACTGAATATAAATCTTGATTTTGAGAGTCATAATTTGTGTTTGCAACACAAATATAACTGTGTATTTTGTTGATTTTTTATGTTATTAAAATTGTTATTGTCTCAATTAAACAAATAAGACTACCATGTACAGGAAAAATTAATTGAGATTTTGAGTGTAGTTTTTGTGATGGTGACACTGTTTGTAGGAAGGACATTGA